GACTTGCTCATATCACCCCAGGCGGCAGTGGCTTTTTGGCGGGGCGGGGCGGGCCAAGCCACCGCCGGGGAGCCTGAGAGCCAGTGCTGCCAAAAAAAACACTTGCCACATCTTGCCACCGTGCGTGTGCCACTTCAACGTGCTCCGCTGGCCGGCAGTGCAGCGGACCATACAGCAGCACTACACCGCTGATTCTTTGGAAACCGCTAGGATATTTTGAATAAGCGAGAGACGCTATGGCAAAACCTCTCTGTGCCACGCATGCGCACTCCTTTTCTCTTCATGCAGTTGCTCAGCGGCTCAGCGAATGGGAGGGTGGTGGGAGCTGCTGCGCGGCAGCTGAGCTCAGCCCCGCCCGCCCACCCTCAAGTCAGGAGAGCGCCGACCCGAGTGTCAGAACAGCCTAACCCTGCCGTCGAGCGCGGCACCTCGTTGCGCCCCCATCAGAAAAGACGTTGCAGTCGCTCTGGAGTTTGAGTGCACGGGTTTTGCGAAGCGGTCAAAAAGCTTCACGATTCATGAGTATGCCACTGGGCTAGAAGCCCTTGTCGGCTTGCCTGTTGGAGTTTGCGCCGCCCTCAGAAGTAGGAGTTGGCCTAAAAGTGTGCAGGTGTTGTGGGTTTTTTGCTTGTTCGCGCCGCCGCTCAGAAGCATGGCCAGTTGCGCTGGCTTACAGTGCGTTTCCGATTTTATGTTGTCGTTCATGATGTTGCTGCGGAGTGGCGAGCAAAACAGTTCTCAGCAGGTGGGCAATGAACGTCATCAATTGTCATGCGCGCAACTGATTGAGTTCCCCGCGCCGACGTGGGCAACTTGGCACAAACTTATTTCGCAGTGCCCGATGTGCGCATGGTCTGGAAGGCAGAGAATGCCGTCGCAAAATTTCTCTGCAACTATGAGGCTTGCTTTGCCTTCTCAGTGATTTCTGAGATGTGCCAACATCTGCCACACGCTTCCGTACGAGACAGAGGCACTTTCCCCCAAATCCTGCGACCGAAGCCGTGGACCGAAGATTTTGAGGCTTCAGCCTGCGCTCAGCGCAAAAACTTTTCTTTTCCGCTTGACTTTTGTACGCCATGTCCAAACGGAGCCGACAGGAAGGAGTCAGCATTGCAGTCATCTTCACTTCGCTCACTTCCTTGTTGATCACTCCACGAGCGTCTCCAATTTGTTCGCGAGAAGGGAAGTTGTGCGAGGAGTGCACAACAAGCACGGACGTGTGGTGTCAAAGGCATGCTGCGCGTGATCTGGTTTGGCGAAGTTTTCTGAAATCGCTCTACGTACTGTGACAGCGGCCGTGGATGCACTTCGACATCTGCACATCCAAAAGCGTGATGGCGTCATCCAAACTTCAACCGTTCACACGCTTTCGTCAATGTGTTCGGCATGTGCTCGGGGAGCCATACTCGGAAGCCCGACTTGGTCTGCGCAGCGCTTTCATCAGACAGTCAACACTGTCGACACTGAGTGGCTCTCAGGCGAGGGCGTGGCCGCGCTCGGCGTCCTCGAAACTGTCTTCGCTTTTGGACGTCTGGGCTAACAGGCATCGTTTGAGGCCTCCGTCAAAACCACCATCCCACTTTTCAACTTCTGGCTTCATAAAATGCACGAAACTGTCGTGGTTCTGGACGTTTGGGCTCAGGACATGCATGCGAGACTGTCGCTGTTGGATGAATGCAAACTGTCGTCGCTGTTGGATGTCTGAGCGCACGAAATGCGAAACTGTTGTCGCTTCTCGGTGTCTGAGCTAACGCTGTCTCTGTCTACACGGGCACACTCATATATCTTCTGCGTGAAGCGACCAACCCAACCTCAATTCGGGTTCTGAGCGCGACGTCCAGTCCCACACGGGGGCCCGACCTTAAACAGGCCTTTGGAACACATTCTCGGCGCAGCGTCCCAGAAGCAGCTGGGCAAATGCTGCTGATGGTGCCCCTTCATACGTCACAACCATTCTTGCAGCGCTCCGGAGCTGGCTCGATATCACGATGACACGGAGGGCGCCTTCGCTGCAGGGCAGGGCGGGGTCAGCGTATCTGGGGGGCGCCCCCGCCCCCCCCCCCTCCCGCTTTCCGAGCGCGTTCTGGAGCTGACGCCGGCTGCTTCCGCCAGCGGCCACATACTCGATGCCGGAATCACGACAAGAACGCGCGTTTGCACTTCCGAGTTTCTCGCATGTTTCTCGCATGTCTCTCGCATGTTTCTCGCATGTTCTTGTTCGACCTGAGATGCTTTCACTGTCACGCTGCACGCTGTGACGTGTTCAAGAAGACCAAGACATCTCCTACCCTTCTGCACTTTTCAATGGAACTGGCTCGCCAGAGGGCTGAGATGCCGATGATGAAACGCTTTGTGCACGATGCTATGGGTGAAACCGTGTCCATCTGCTAACGGCATGGATCAGTGGCCTTGATGAGGGTTTTTCCTGGAGGGAGCGCAGGATTCTCCACGAAAGCTCTGTGACATGACCTTCTTGCTCCTCGCACAAACTCGTGCAACAGGTTGTGCACGCCTCTCTTTCTCAGGGGCTTGGGCATCAGTGAGGTTCATCAGCTCCAAGTTGGGTGAGATCTCAGCGGTCCCACACAGGAGTCTCCAACAAGAAGAAACAACACAAACATGACAAAAAAAACACTTCTCTGCACGTCATCAGAAATGAGGATTTCAGCGTATGGAAGGGTACTTGGATCGTTGAGCCGGGGGGCTCCCTCCTCCAGCAAGCTGGCCGTGTCCCGCGGGGACTCCCGTGGGGACGTCAGCCGATTCCAGGTGCTGCGCTCCTGAAAGCAAGCTATGACACCAAGGAGTCTGCTAAGCGAAGCTTAGATGGTAGCCCTCTGCTTAGCTCTGCTCTTAGCTCTTCTTAGCTGGCAGGGCCTCTTCCCAGTCCGCCGAAAGCAAGGCCAAGGAGAAGCCCGCGGCAGCCATAACCTCTCAGATGGTTTTTACTCGAGCAGGCGTTCTGTGAGTTCCGTGGCGTTCAGTGCATCTTGTTTCGAGCCTGGAAGAGGGCCACGAGGCGAAAGGATGCCCCGATGCTCCAGGAGTCCATGGCCTGAAAACAGCAGCTCACAGCACAGCTCCACAGCTGCACAGCCTGGTCTGCTGGGACCAGGCTCTCCAGTTTCAGGCCTTGCCAATGGCGTAGGGCATGGGCATTGCGAAAAGTAGATTGTTGCACTGCACCTCGCGACAAAAGACGAACAGAACGGAACGGCCACAGGACGCCGGCAACAGCGAACCTTTTGTCGGCACTTTCGTTGAAACTGTGAGCATGGGGGGGAGGGGGGGGGGCATGTACTCCTTCTTTCCAGCAGAAGCCCCGCTTTGCTTCCAGAAGCCCCATTTACAAACAGCAAGCCTTTCCAAAACACCCAAGCCTATTCAGGGTTGAATGAAAAAGCCTGAAACTAACCCCCCAGCATCCTTTAGAGCAACCCTTGCAGGCTTGAAAGTGAAGCTGGTTGTTGAGTGGGCGTTCTTAAACCAAATTCAAGAAAGCGGTGGAGTTGTGGGTTTCAGCTGTGATTGTGGGGCCTTAGGATTTTGGGGTTCTCGGGTTCTAGCTGCACGGCCTCCTTTTGCTAGGACGGTTCTGAATACAGATGGGCTTTGTGTAAGAAATTCTACTGGCTGCAGGGTTGCAGCTTTGGGTTCCTGCGTTTGGGTTCTTGCGGTTCTGGTTGTAGCCTTCGCGTCGCGGCGCTCACCCATGCTCTTCGGATGCACGAAGAAAAGCGCTTCCCTGTGCTTCGGAGGCTCCCGGCTCCCAGAAGCTTTCTTCTTCCTATGCAACTCATGGGAGACGTGGACTCCAAAACGCCTGAGGTCGTCAGAGGCTCCCAAATGTCCCAAAGTAACCCTCGTTCCCCTCTCCAATCCCCTTCCCATTAACGCCTTGATGCGTCTTTTATTGTGAGGTTTCGAACTCAACTCTCCCTGGAGTGCCCAACCCCAGAGACTCCCGGGAGTGCCCAACCCCAATTGCAAGCAAAAACTAAGAAAGTGTATTTGAATCAATGTGTCTTTGTTTGAACATCTTATTTGCGCTCTTTCCTATTAACGAGGAGCAAGGTGGGGATGTTCGAACTATAATAATTGCATGTTGGTATGAAAAACCGAGATTTCACTGACGCTGGGAATTGCGATCCTTTCGGCCTGACCTGCCAGGGCAGGGGGTCCTACTTTTCCTGTTCTTCATCTCAACGTGAAAACCTCGCAGGGGTTTCCGACAGAAGGAACTGAAAAATCCCCAAGATTTCAAGAAGCTACTCTTTTGGGCTTTTTTGGGCTTTTTTTGTGCAGGATGTTGAGGGACGACTCCGGTTTGTCTTACAAAGTTGTGCGCTACGAACAAATGGCAGCTAAAGCTTGGATGAGGTCTTCTTCCGCATGAGTTTGGCATCTCAAAACGAAATAGTAGTATATGCACTGAAAAACATCAAGATGCAGCGCTCTGCCAGCATTGGGTCTCGGGTTGACCCCTGAGCCAACCATTCAATCTGCCCGTCCAGTCGGGCCGGGGCGATTGACACGCGGCGCACCGCCCGACATTCAGAAAAAGCACGGGACAATTGCCGTGGACCGGCGCATTTCCGGCACGGGATGTTTTGCTGCAATGCAAATAGACAGGACTACACACCTTGCGGACACCTGCGGACACCTGCGGACACCTGCACAAGGAGAACTGTTGAGGAATGTGACAAAAGCGATGCCTGGTAGACAGAAGCTTCGATGACTCGGTGACCTGTTAGCGCCTGGGAAAAGCCCAGGTACAACATCAAAGAGAGCAATGGGCAGAGCATCTGGTCCACACAGAGAACGGCTGGACACGGACACGCAGAAATCTCTGGCTCGGGCAATGTTGATGATCCCCTGCCTCAGCTCCATGAGCCGCGAATGTAGCAGCCAAACCAGCTACTAGCTCAACTAGCTCAGTTCGCTCAATCGGCTCGTGTTCACGGTTCGAACAGCTCGGAACTTCGACCAGGAATCTCAATTTAGGCAGAATGCGCGGCCGGGTACACGCCGCCAGCAATGCAGAAGGTCAGAAACATGGCAGGCCTGGGAGGGCGAGGCAATGCAAAGCAGTGGAGCGCAAATGCTGGACACCGCGGGCACCCGGCCAGAAAAAAGAGCTAGAAACATACGGTAGCACCGCCGCAAGAACAGCCGCCATGCTGGAGACGGACGCCAGGAAGATCAGTGTCCTAAGCAGTGTGCACGAAGATGCACCAAGCAAGCACTAGCACGGCTACAACACAGCCATTTCTGCCATCTCCAGCGAATGTCCTCCTGTGCTGACTCCACTTGTCCGGCTGCACCACACTTCCGGACATGGCAATACTGCCACCTGATGAATAACGCAAGGCATCGAATTCTGATGGAACTGCTGTGCACAGCTGGCCTAGGGCAGGGCCAATCAGCGCAATGCCCTGAAGCTACTGACACAGGGGCACGCACTGCGACAGTGAGACTGACACACTCTGCGATGCTCCAAACTTCATACCACCAAGAGTACTGAAAACGCGACATCGCGACTTGAGTGGACAAACATCTCTACCAGGCCGCCCACGGAAAAGGTGCACAGTATTAGGTGGAGGCCGAAGCCACGTGACCTTGCAAACGGAAAAGATGCATTCTCAGGCATCCTCAATGGCACCTTCTGACGGCGCAGTGGGTTTCTAGCGTAGCGTAGTCTCGGATGACGTACTTGCACCTCAAGCGGCTGATGGCGACGCTGAACACATCTGAACGCTCCATTGCAAGAAATTGCACGAGCTGCTCTCTCTGAAGTGCTCTCTCTGGGGAGTGATCCCGCCGAGGAAGCCGAGTTGTGCTGCCAGGGACACGTTGGTCGCCCAGTACCTTTGAGGCTCAGCGACATGAAAACTGATCTCTGAACTTGCTCTGAGCAGCTTTTGCTGCGTTCTCTGTGCACTTGTCACATGAGACCAGGGTTGAGGCACACCCCATCGCTCTGTGCTCGGGTACTCCACTTCACCTGTGCATTCAGTGGCATCGCCCAACATCAAGGCCGACGAAGTCATCCCCCCTGTAAGATGCAAGCTCACCGGTTTCTCCTCCTCACCTGCTCCCACATAGGCTCACATCGGCTCACATCGGCTCACATAGGCTCACATGTGCTGCGATGTTCTGTGCTCAAGAGCATCAGCTCCTGAGGGCTGCACTGTCCATGCGCTTCGCCACGCGGTCTACGGACAAGTCCAAGAAGCCTGGCAAGGAGTCAGCAACTTCCAACTCGCCAGCCCATCTCAGGAAACACACAAGCCAAGATGACGGCGTCCACCATAGGCCAGACACAGCAGGGCGGTGCCACCGAAGACAATGGCTTGCCCTGGCATTTTGAGGTCAGACCGTGCCTTTACACTCCGCATTCACATTCGCAAGCAGAGCTAACAATCAAAAACCTTCTGCACATACCTTCTGCACATCTTGAACTCTTCGTAGTAGGGCAATGAAAAGTATCACAAGCTGCCAACTCAATGAACAGATGTTCAAGGCATGTCAATTTGTCGTCATTCCCTCATGGCCCAGAATAGCTTTTACGAGCTTGCGACCACGTGCAGTTGTGCATGAAGTACAAGCACATACAGGGTTGGTTGCTTTTGGGGCGCGAGGGAAGCGCTCCGATGCAGTTCGGGCGCAGCACTTGTATATCTTGAATTTGAAACATTAACAAAATTCCAGGAAACATGGCCAGTCCTATAAGTTGCAACATTTGTTTGGAGCCCCAAAGGTTCTGAAAGTCGGAAAAATTCTTAACGTTCTAAGTGCGCAAAAACTCGAAAAGTTCCGACAGCTCTGGCAGTTTAAACACTTCTCGAACTTCTCAACAGGTTCTGACATTCTTAGGGGTTCTGAAGTTTGCTACAGTCTCCAAATCTCACAAAAGAAGACGCCTGACTTGGAAGCCCTTGAGGACGGCTGAAAGCTTTGACAAGTCCAACGGAGACCTATAAATCCTGATACGCAAACACGGCGCACTCAGCAGGTGGGCTAATCCCCTACTCTCTACAGCAGACGATCAGCATACACCAGTGGCCACAGTCGAAGAATGATCCAATAGCCGCTTGTCTGCTGAGTGCTTGATCCACCCACGTTCTCCCCCTGCTTCTCGGCGCGTCCGGTCTCGGCGTTAGTTGGCTCTTGGCCGTTCATTCTCTCAAAGGACCCCCGAAAGGATGGTAATCATGCTGCCGTTATACCAATCCTTTGCCGCCCTATGAATCTTACTATTTGGGCGGTGCAAAAATCTGCGCTTCATTCATATCTTTGTTCATGTTTATTTTCCTGTCGCTAACGTCATGACGAAGAAATCCACTGAAGAGCACCCAAAATCCCTAACGTCCTTACATAATCTGGAGATACAGGATTCGTGTTAACCTTTGCTGATGAAAAAGCACTATGATTATTACTCCATTTCTGGGCTTGTTGTAGGCCTGTTCTGCATTTGCGGGGCAATGGTCGCGTCTACTCGTCGAAACAGTGTGCTGTGATGTGCTGTGGTTCACGGTCCGAGCGGAACTCGCGCGTCAGACATTCATGTGCTTGGTTGCGTTTGCGGGCTTTTGGAAGTCTCCTTCCTTGCAAGCCTTACACCCTCTGGCTGTTGGAAGGATTTGGAATGCCCGAGACCTCAAGGCACAGGAACTCAAGTCAAGACATTGCCCAGGTTGGGTGGATCCACCGCTAAAGCTAAGGTGGCAAATCTCCAAAACTCGAAATCTCGTCGACAGCTACCCTGTTCTCGCAGGTTCCTCATACTGTTCACCATTGTTCACCTCTGTCACCGGGCCCTGCAGGCCTATGAAAGCCCAGCGCCAGTGAAACCCAGCGCTTACAAACTCCTGCGAGTCACACAGCAATGCCTCTCACCAGTCGCTTCACATGTCATGTCCTGGGCCACGATGAAGCCAACGTTTTCACCAAGAGGCACCATGGCGTGCAGGATGGCATTCCAAACCTAACATGCAGGTTCAACGAATCTTGCAAAAGATGCGAACATGCTCTGAGGACGCCGGGTCAGCTGAAAATGAAGTTCGAGGTACAGGTCAAGGCCCCCGCATTCCAATTGTGGCTCCCGTGACGAGCCAGCCACCCCTGCCATGACATGGCTCTAGTGTTCCACTAGTGTTCCCGTTCTTGTTTGCAAGGCCGCAGGGCGCGTGTCCTGCAAGTAGGGAAGAAAAGGTGCTTCAAAAAATCCCACGAGGAATCGGACCTGACGAAGGACTCGGCTTGAAGTTTGCTCAGCGGCGACGGTTTGACGGTTTGCAATTTATTTGCAGTTTATTTCTACATCACCGAGCAGCCGCGTAGATCTGATGCAGCGTGATGCCGGGCACTGTCATGAGCAGCATCGCCTTGGTGCTCAGCCAGTGCTCAGCTGACAACGCAGAGACGCTATCTGTGCAACATGGGTCTGAGCTTTCCACGATGACGTCGAGGATTGTGCATACAATGACAACATTGAATTCCCCGAAGGTCCTCATGGCGCGGTCATCATGGCGCCGTTCATGTCATGGTGCGGTCATGGTCATGTCATGGCGCGGAACCATGAGAGGCACAGAAGGGCCTGCAGGCCCACGGTGTGAGGGGAAGGCCCAGGCAAACGCCAACCATCACCCACCTTGAGACTCGCGAGAGTCGCGATGTACGGTGTGGCGCCAGCACGCTGCTCCCTTGCCCGCTCCGCGACTGAGGCACGTGCGATCCGAGTGCCAAGTTCATGGCCTTCGAGTTCCTGAGACACTTGCAACATGTTCCTTTAAAGAGGCGTCAGACAGATCACATCAAGACTCATATCTTCCAGCGTGCAAAAGGATTGCAATTGGGGCCCCAGGCCCGGGGAGCGAGACGGCCACTCCGATGTTGGAGCCGTGGCCAAATTGGCAAGAGAAGAAGTTCAGCAAGATGAGAATGAAGAGGATCCAGGCATCTCTGTCCCTGAAGGCGAGAAAGCAAGTGCACCAAATGCCTGGCTTCGATCCCTCAACCCGGCATTCTGGGCCTTGTCTTTTTCGCCTTCTCCTCTTTCCAAGGAGGTTCTTCCGCTTGTGCCATCGCGAAGACTCGAAGACTCCAACTCGCGAGTTTTAGTAATGAAAATTAATGAAATGTGGTTCTCGGCGCTGGCAAGGGCCGTCGGCCGTCGGTCTTTGTCAAGGGGGGCCCCTGTACGTCGACAGCTTTTTGCCAAGTACTGGGCTGCTGAATCCACATGTCAGCAATGTCACACTTGCAAATCACACCAGCCATCTGCTCATGAAGGCCCTACGACGCACAGTCTGACAGCTCATTTCGGTTTCTGCAAGCTTGCCTAGCAAATCTCTGTGAACGAAATGGTTCACTGTCCACTGCCTAAATTCCACGGTTGGATTTTTCTTGGCCGACTTCATCGGCAAGAAGCCGGCAGAACACGCCGCAAGCTCGCTGATTGCGAATGCGGAATCCTGCAAGCTGACCATGGAACCCGCCCGTGTAAGCACCTTCAGGCGCATGGGACGCCACATACTTTAAAAGTATGGCTTCCCACGAAAGCAGCATGTCCTGCAGAAATCCGCGAAACGTTTAGTTTTCAGGAAGCTTGAAGAGTCTGAAAGGGCGCGGACAGCTGCTGTGAAACAGCGGCCCGGCACGTGGCCCGGCTCGCAGAGCCCTGAGCGTGGAAAGGCCAGAGCCTGCTAAGAAACAATGGGGGACGTTGCGTCAAGATACATCTACTATCATCTACTTCTCCTCTTCTTGCGAATAGCCACCTGCGCACAAGGCTTCCCCAACGCAGGCGTGAATGTGTGGTACATGTGAAAGCGGAGAACCGGGCGACCGACCGACGAACACGCACTGCTCACTGCGCCGCTCCACACAGCAACTGCAATTTTCCAATTTAATCGCTCCTTTTCTGGGTAAATGTACTTTTTGACTCTTTCTTCCTCTGTTGCTTGCTTTGCTTGCTTGCTTGTGGAAGGCATGGAAATGTGGGACCGGGCCCCTCTTGAGGGTATCCTCTGCTGGGGCCCAGGAAGAGCGTGGGCTGGGCAGAGCATTTGGGTGGCCCCTGAGCACTTGAAACAGCCGCTGCGCAGTGTGAAAGTTAACACGAAGTCACCGGCTAGACACGGAGCGTGAGCAGCGGAGAGGGTTTTTTTTTCCCCCCCCTTTTTTTTGGTCTCGAAGAGTGCGGTTGAAGGCAGAGCAGAGGTCGTTGCGAAGGCAGGAAAAGTCCACATTCGGGGGGAAGGCGGAGCCACGTGCCGAGGCGAACTGCGAAACTGCGACGACAACGTACAAAAAAGCTGCAAGAGACAGAAAACCTGCAAAAGCGAACGCCGGTATTTTGAGAGAGAGTTTTCTCGCGCAGGGTAGCCGGGCAGCGGCTGTGCAAAAGGTAGGTTGAGCGACAACTACTTCGGACCATCTCAGAAGCATCTCAACTGCGAACAAGGAGTGACGATGAACCCAACTCACTCGAGCCAAATCTCTTGCTGTCCGCAGTGTCGAAGTTCTCTTAGTCGCCAGCCCAGTGGTGGCAGTTGGAGTTCTGAGAGGATTTCATTGATCCTCGCCACAGACGCACACATCACGACACAGATACTCAGCTCTGTCAGCTCTGCAACACTCCAACAACCCCTCCGTCGGTCTCCTCTTCGCGGCCTCGGGCTCAATTTCGACGTCCTCCAAGAGCTTCAGCATCTTGTCCACTCCTCACAAAGCTCACTGACGGGCTGTGAACCTTTGGCAGAGATCTCTGCATGGCGCACCTACATCCTTGAAGCGGTCCACCTCGGAAGACAGAACCAAGAGCTTCTCAAGCTTCTCAAAGCATAGCTGACTTCTCGCAGGCCTTATGCTGCAACTCATGCTTCGTGACAGCAGTGTTCCGGAGAACAACCATTCGCCGCCTCAGAAGGGCAACACAGCAGCCATGGCGGCGGGTCGTGCTTCGCTTGTGCAAGCGACAGCCGTCGAGATCGCCGTAAGGATAAACCCTTCTTCAGGTTTTTCGATCTGACAAAGAAAACTTGGAATTTGGCACACAATGCACAGGGATAAGAGCAAGGGAATCTGGGGGTAGTTGGCCGAGCTGCCGGTCGGCATCAGCCTTGCTATCCTCAAGGACCTGCACGACAGAAGTGTTGAGTGAAGTGCGTGGCAAAGGTCAGGCGGGGCAGGTTCAGCCTGAGCTCGCTGGCGGATGGCCAACAACTTCTCGATCTGCTGGTCAACGGCGTAGGCGTTGGCCTCACTGCGACGCTGAGCTGTTCCAATGTCACATCTCCAACAAATGACCCAACTGGAAAAAGCCACGGTGCTCGTATGTACTCCCTCAACGGTGTGAAACTGTTCAACTCTCAAGGATTCTGAAGGACTCTGCTAAACGACCTGGCCACAAAAATCCCAGGAACACAGGTAACCGAAAAGCGTCCTCAAGGTTTCCTACTTCATAAACTCCTACTGTGAAACTCATTGTTGCCTAGTCATTGTTCCCCCTTGCTGGTGTTCCCGGTTGACACGCACGCGGGGGGCGTTTACCGCCGGTGGACGCGAGCGGGGGGTTTACCAAGTTACTGAAGGTGTGAAAAGCGAAGCAGCACAACAAGACTACAACAAACGTAACAGACAACCACTCGAGGAGCGAGAGTGAGCCCGCCGCCCGCCGCAGGCGCTCCCGGTTTTCTGCAGCCAAAGCGGCCTCATTTTGAGGGCGTGGTGGCACAGGGCGGCACGGGGAAAGGCTGTGACTCTTTGGTTCGGATCCGGGCAAAATGCTCCGCACCCTCCCGAGCTCTGAGTAACTCTGGCCGCTCCTTTCGTCGCAGCCTGCAAACAAGAAACATAGGTGAGCTCTTGGTCATTCTGCCCGGGCTCCCACGTTTCTGAGGCAGAACGTTGCAAGCTCCTGGCATCAGGTCAAGGCACAGGTTGATTTAAAGCTGGGAAGCTGATGAAGAGCCGTCCTGGACTCCCAGTTTCTTCTGAACTCTTCATGTTCTTTCTCCTTCTCAGCAAGCAGCCTTTCATACCTGCACCGCACAAAACACAAACTTGAAAGTGAAATGTCAAAAGCCGCTGGCCTGCCTAGACACAAATGCCTGCCGCTTCTTGCTGTTCGTTGTCTGCACGCGGGGCACACAAGGATAAGACGGCAGGGGACTAGCAATATGTCCTGGCTTTCGCCTTGAAGTCCTTCAGTCTGTCTTTTAGCCTGTCATTCCGGAACTCTTCCGCCTGTGCAAACACGATGAGACATGCTAGCAGCCACCATAAGCTAACCTCCAACACGGCAAGAAATGGTGGTTCTGCCTTGCTGTGTCGTTCCAGAGCCTCCCCGTACTTCTTCTCATTTTCTGCCTGGCCAACATGCCGCCAAAAGGATACGGGTTTTGGTGACACTTGCCAGAACCCGTGCTGTACTGTACTTTGGGGGCGCCCCCAACTGCAAAGAGCCTGCTGCTGCGTAAGGTACTCCGCGACCTCAGATGGGAAGACAAGACAAAAAGCAGGAGGTCGTGCCTGAGATATTTCGAGGATTTTCTCCGGGAATCTGTGGGTTGAGCACTCCAACATACCAGAAATCCTGTGCGAGATTCTCTACGGGACTCTCTGCGGAACCCTCTGCAAGTCTTCAAGCATCCTCTGCAGGATTCCCTTGAAAGATTCTCTTGGCATGGGAGACCCATACTAGTAATTCAGTAGACCCGGGCGAGGACCAAAATCTGAGAACGACGGGCAAAGTGTTCGTACCCACCCAGTACAAGCTTCTAACGTTCGGCCAACATGCAGCGTGCTACGATCATGAGAACTACTCAAGCGCAAGTCTCGCCATGTGCGCGATTCGCTTGTTTGTGATTCAGCTCAATGCACGAGAATGACCGTGTGCAAAAACACGCACGCACTCAAGCACGCTCCTCCTGGGTGTTTTCTGCTTCTGGTCAATCTTTTGCGAGGATCGAGGAGTTCGGCGGATCTCTTGCAAAGCACATGTTAGTGCAAGGGTACGTGCAAGAGTGTGTATTGGTATTGTCAGTATTGTATTAGTGTGCTGAGACCGAGTCATCGAGTCAGCGAGTCATCAGGGCCCGGGCTCGCTGCCGGCACTGCGTCTCCTTTTGGAGCATCGCCTCCTTGTTGGAGTCCCTGTCACGGCTCCAATCTCGCAGCCGTGCTCGGTGACACAAGAGACAATGGCCCAAAAGCCGCAAAAGTACGGCCTCTGGCCCAGCAGCTCTTCGAGCCTCAGAGCTTGCAACTACTGCGGTGAAAAACTGCAGCAACACTGCGCAGGCCAGCAGCATCCGCCAACCATGCCGATTTTCAATCGTTGTAGAGCTGCATGCTCATGCTCCTACGGCCTGTGCTAGAGAGAAGGCTCTCACAATGCTCTCACAGTCGCCCGCACCACATCACGCGAACAGAGACTCTCAGCCATGGGCATGGCCACAAGAACAGTCGTGGGTGCATCACTTGTGCATCTTTGCTGTACGTTTAGTTTCACGCACTGTCCATTGCACCATCCACCAAACATGTCCAAACATCGCAACGCAACAACTTTACTTGGCAAACTCACACGCATCACACGAGTGCAGAAGCTGTGGAGCGGATCTCCACCAGTCGGGAAGAGATTTCATTGATTTCATTGATTTCATTGATTTCATTGATTTCATTGATTTCATTGATTTCATTGATTTCATTGATTTCATTGATTTCATTGATTTCATTGATTTCATTGATTTCATTGATTTCATTGATTTCATTGATTTCATTGATTTCATTGATTTCATTGATTTCATGGCAGCTCTCAGAAGCTGGCAGCTGGCGCTTCCTGAGGTGTTTCTCCTCGATCTCATCATGCATCTCCTGTGCCAGAAAACTGCACTTGCGCACGGAACGGCTGATCACAGTGACATAGCAGACATAGCAGCAGAAGAAGGCTCTCAGAAAGCGCTCCTCGCGCTTGCGCAACATCATGTCTTCGAAGGAAGCCTGAAGCTGACGAGTGGTCAAGGCAAATTGCTGGTCCATGCGAGTACTCGCCGTATCAACTACACCTCAAGTGCAAGTCTTCCATGATCTTCGGTGCTCCTTCGATGCCTTCGATCACAGAACTCGTGACAGAAGCGCCTTCTGCCTGCGTGCTTCGATGCCCTTCACCTGGCACCCAAGAGCAAAAAAGCACGCAGTCTCAGAAGGCTTCATCCTGAGGCTGAGAACGCCTCAAGCCGAAGTCCAAAAAACCGCATGTCTTGAGGAAACAAGGACAACAAGGATACAAGATTTGTGTCCACTCCGTTGCCACCCTGTTGCCAGTACGTGCCTGCTTGGACTCGATGGAATCGTCATGTGCCTGCCGGATGTCGGCTAGGCACTTCGCCACCCGTTCATCAGCCTGCGGTGCACAGGGGCAGAATATGAAACCACTGGCAAAATTTGGCAAAATAATACAATACCGTTTTCAGGAAGCTTTGAGCTTACCTCCTTCAGCTGTTGCCGAAGCTCTTCACAGTGTGCTTGCAGCTGCCGATCAGCACGGTCCCGTGCCTGTGGAAACTGCGGACAACTCCGTATGCCACCTGCAATTGAAGGCCCAAGTCGGAACCTCTTTGGATTTTTCCCGTCTTTTTTGTGCCTCAGCAAGCGCATCCATTTGCGGCCACCAGAATGCGATGGGCCGCTCCAACCTCCTTCTGGACTGCTTTTAGCTTGTCATCCCTTTCTTTCTTTAACTCTTTCATCCGCTTCAGATTCTCCTCAGTGTCCAAGCAAGAATCTAAGAAAGTACATCTCGCACGACCGCAAGATGAAGCTTGCAACTCCTCTTGTTTCTTCTTGCCCTTTTCGAACTCCATTCGGCTCTCAAGCTCCTCTGCACAATGGAAGCAGGCTGGGAACCTTTTACTTCACGTCCCTGTCAAAGCCTGCTTGCACCGTAGCTCAGGTCTCTCCACCCCGGTCCTTTATCACGGTCTTCTGAATGTCTTTCTGGCCGGGCATGTGACATTCCAATGTTGCCGTTAGTGCAGCGTGGTGAGCGAGGTGAGCGAACCTTCGCCATTCTGGCCATGACCTCCATGCTTTCTTTTTCCTTCCGCAAGACCTGCAAGCGCATGAAAGCAGCACCTTCTTGCTTTATGCGCATTCGCACTGGTGACTTTCAAGTTCCAATCCTCCTCCAGGAAGGCGGCGTTTAAGTCACCTTGAGCTTTGCGCATGCAGCGCATGTAGAAGCCACGAACCACAAAACCATCTCGCGCTCCAGCACCTGCAGACCTTCCCAAATCATGGGTGTCGCCGCCCTGTCCAGACAAGAACGACCAGAATCTCGTCCCCAAAGGCATCCAAGGCTTCATCCTACGGAAGTGGACCATGCCTGAGGTCCTCGTGCAGCTAGCATTGACACCTAGACATTCCCCCCGAGATGTTTAGCTTCTTTCACTCATGCATAGCATCACTACAACAACGCAAGCTGGGGCCCAACATGTCCGATCAATGTGCGCCGCTTCTTCTCGAAGAGTAGGTGCTTGTTCTGCGGTACACAGCGACAGCACGCTCGGTTCATGAGCAGATAGACATGCCTGATTGCCGTCGAAGTCTTCCTCCTCCTGCTGGGCAGGACGACAAATTTTGGCTCAAGACACAAGGCCCTCATTTTACGGAACAGGCGCAGCCTTCTTGTCTAATTCGGTTGGGATAATGCCCATTACCCGCATAGCGGCTCGCACCCGCGGCGACCTGGCCAGGGTGAACCTCCCATGGAATCGTACACTTCGTACACAACATCTCGTGATGCCGAGGTGCTGCGTATTGGGGGGCAAAGGTGCTGGCGGTAACGTCGCCTTCAGAAACACATTCTGCTAAGCTGATGGAAAACAAACTAAAGTAGGCACTCCCTGCTGCATGTTGCCTCCGCCATGGCTGCCACCAAAGCAAATTGTGTGGGAATGTTGTTTTCAGCCAATGCCTGTTGGATCCTCACAAATGTGCCGGCTGGTGTCGATGCTGCTTGAAAGACTACTGGGCTTAGGCTTCTGTGAACATCAAAGTTCTGCTGGAGCAGCTACAACTGCAACGGCTGCAGCGACATTTCGCGCATGCAGGCCATTAAAATACTGTGTGGGGTGTTCGTTGGGAAGGAGCAATGAGGTCATGAAAAGTCCATAGCACCCGCGATCCCCAGCTCAAGCGAAAACTTGCGCTAGCTTGCCAAACAGCCGGCCCGCACTCACAGGCAAATATCAAATCGCTCCCAGGTTATCATGCCACTTTTCAGCTAACCTACCAAGCACCATTGATTGCCACTGATCGTATTTCGATTGGAGTCTTTTGGGGTGCATGCACAAACGCCTCTCCACTTCCGTCTAAACTTCCAATGAGGACTCAGCAAACGGAACTAGACGATAGACGTCAGGAAGCACATGGTCAAACACAACTTCTACCATGTCTACCCAACTTGCCAAAGTGCATGCAACAAGCCTACCAGGCCTACCGCCTACCATGCTGTGGCTTCGGCTTTGTTTTGTTCTGGCATTTCAAGCAGAGGAGAAGGCACTGGCTACGGAATCCGCAAGGTTTGACCTGATTTCGCTTTGGCCCTAGCCACTTAAAGGAATGCGGGCGGCGGAGGGTGGCGGAGGGTGGCGGAGGGTGGCGGAGGGTGGCGGTGGGTGGCGGTGGGTGGCGGTGGGCAGCCACTCGGCGGTGGTGGCACCTTGAGGTGTTGTCGGTGCCAGTGCTTCGCGGGTCCACTTCGACCAAAGGGACCTCCGCCACAACAACGTTCTCTCCACGCACATTTGGAGCATTCCTTGCCCCCTGTAAAATTTGCAACCCTTCGTGCCGCTGAAACACACGGGTATTGGATCCAGTCTGTGATTGATGTGCAAGGAAGCTAAAGGCTTTGGTGAGCCAAGTTCATGGGATGCTTGTGCACGTGATCCGTGTGCTGGCAGGAGTGCATAAGATGCTCTTGCAAAGACCGGCGGATGAAGAAGGGAGCTCCAAGAACCATTATGACGCGCGGCGTTCCCCGCGAAGGGCTTCACACAAAGCACAAGGCAGGGGTATAGGCTCAAATAGTAGGCTCAGATTTTGAGAAAATGAAGTCTTATGCCACACCTCGCGTCAAAATAACAACGCGGTTTCTTGTGAGGTCTCGGCGACAGCTCGGCAACAGTTTTACAATGCAACATGACAACCACACGAAGGACTAGATCACGGTACACAGCAACGTTGGCATGGCATAAGGCTCTAGCTGAAATAGAGCACGTGCCATGGCTTCTTGACTGCGGTGCAAGTACGCACTCTTTGCAACGTGTTCGAGACGGAGGGAAATGCACTTTGACACAGCAACTAAACTCACGTTGGATTCCACTCGTACGCCTACGCGATCCAGTTGGGAAAAGGCGACAGAGAGGGCTCCATTGGACTTGGAAGGAGCCTGCAACTAGCTTCCACCAAGCCTGGCTTCCCAGGAGCAGCGCTGCGCCTGCAAGCTTTCCAGCCCATCAACAGTTTACACCATCGAGAACTGGGTGCTTAACGTCGTTTTGAAAAAAGATCACAATGTTTCAACTGTTTCGCGCCGTCTTTCTTCTTGGCTGTTGTTGCTTCTTGCTGTGTGCTGCTTTCTTCGCACTTTCTTGCCCGCCTGTATCACTCTTCTTGCCGCATTTTCAGGACGTGACCATTGGGCGGTTGACGCTGTGAAGGGGCTCGAGTGCCAACAATAGCCGTCTTGGGGGAGGATTAGTTTGCTAAGGGCGAGCTGCTGTCGATCTGACTGGATGCGCCTTTGTTTTTCTAACAGCTTACTGCAATTCTTCTAACAGCTTGTTGCCATATTCGAATTTTGTGTCAATTTCGTGTCAATATTTTGAGGTAACACCTTCGCGTCAAATTTCGTAATGAAGTTCGTGCAAATGTCAATTTCGTGTTTTCCAGCGTCATGTTTTGCAAAATTCATCCAAACTCGCTTCAATTCGCCTCGGCTTCCTGCCGAGAAGCGTTTGGAACAAGCAGACCCGGATCGGGCCTCCTTCCCCCTAACCCAACCCTTCTCCCCATGCCGAATTTTCTGACGCCACCCCCCCCCCCCCCCCCCCGCCCTGTGGGACCCCCCCCAATCCCTTGGAGGAGCTGCAAACCGATGGCGTGGAGGGTCCCGCCTGTCGGTGGCTCCTACAGCCTCCCCCCTCCCTTTAACCCCCGCTGCCCTTCCTCCCCTTTTTTCGCGAAGCCCTCTTTCCTCCTTTCCCGTCCTGGGGCCGGCCCGGCTGCCGAGGCGGCGCGCGCAAGCGTTTACAATTATTGTGTCATTTTGGCTTATTTGATGTTTACATTAAAATCGCGCCAGTTTCGTGTCAATTTGACGTTATGTCGAGCACCCCTGTTAGGAAACAGCAACGTTGTGAAGTGTCCCCACACTCCAAGTTCAAGCACGCTTTTGAAATTGCTATATTTAAACGCGTGCAATTTGCAAGACATGAAGTGCAGGTTACTACGGGCTACTCCGGGTCACTACGGGACGCCTGCATGCCTTGCTATCACTGTTGTCGATGCCTAGGGCATGTCCTGTGAGCAGCAGCGGAGGGCACAGGTGAATCACCTTCATCACCCTGAACCCTGAAAACCCTGAAACCCCAAAAACCCGTAAATAAACCTCAAACTAAACCCTAAACTCAGGGCCTAGGCCGCCCCCCTACAGAGGGGGGTCGCGCTTAAGCCCTTCGAACTCTATGGCGAAAGTCGACCCAGGTCGCTTGCCCGCCTCCTGCAGCTCCGGGGTCGGTTGCCTGAGGCGGCGTCGGGCCATGGCCGCCCTTCGCATTGCTCGATGCCTTCAAGGCCCTACTGAAAACGTCACATTTACAGCTTGCACGCCGTACTCAGTAAACCCTAAACCCTCGCAAGCGCACAAAGAGTTTATGTTCAGAGTTATGCTGCTATCATGTGGCTCAAGGTCTACAGGAGCCCAGGCCACCAGCAACTTCTCTGTTTAGAAAGCGCATATGTATAGTGTACAGCATTTACGCAAAAGTCATAGGGCACAGACTCCTATCAGAACCTTCCTTCTTTCTTGTCTTGTTTTGTGTTGCTGCTTGGTGGCAAAACAGAGAGCCCTGCGTAACCCCGCTGTGGAGCTTCCTGCCCAAGCGAGGGTTATGAGCCCAACACTGAGTGAAAGGGCTCCGTAGAAGGCAAGCCGGCTAACCTTGGGGAAACTGGAAACTGGGACGGGGTCGGGTGGGAGAGGGGGTGAAATGGGACCACGGGGCCCAGGCCCAGGCTCCGAGCGCGGGTGTGGTGGAAGTCACGCCATTGAAGCTTGAGAAACGGCCGGCAAGAGTCGTGTCCGTAGCTTTGGTCTTGAAGCCAAGGGCTAAGTCGGCTAAGTCACCGAGGACGAGAGCCTAGGACTCGCAGTGAAAGCCCTCAAAGGCCTCGTCAATCTGGAGGAGCTGCTGCAAGCTTGTCAGGACCTATTGACATGGGTAACTTTGGGTATGAGAACTATGTTCAGCTGTATCAAGATGCCTTGCGTCCCGGTGAGCCTCCACCCATTCCCGATGCGGAGCTGCAGTTTGTATTCAGGAAAGGAGTTGGGGTCAAGGAAAAAGGGTCAATGCACCCGTTACTATTTGGCCATGACCAAAGCGGTCGAAGGTTTCGTAAAAGTGTGCCCTTGGTTTGGGGTCTTGTTGGTTTGGCTGGTTGGTCCAGGGGTAAATCCAGGGCTTCGGTTGGGGTTCCTTGTCCCCCTTCGGTTGCCCCCCGTAGGTTCGGAGCCCAAATTAGGCTCCCTGTTGGTTAAGTGAAATTCTCTCACCTTCTTTACGGCCATGGACATGATGCGGCGTCGTTCTGAACCTAGACTGTCATCGGAGGCCAATGACGCCGAAGAAAATTACGGCGATGGGGATGAAGAAAGACAACAAGCTCCAGCGGTACAGGCACTGACGGATGGAAGGGAAGTTGCGACCGTGCAACAAACTTCTCAGGTGGAAAGTGAAATGGTTCCATTTCCAGCAGCGAATCCTTTCTGGAGCGAGCGGGCTCATGAAGAAATGAGACTGAGGCAATCAAGGCCAGCAAGTCTTCCCGCGAGCGGAGGGGATAGAAGTGGTGAACATACGAGGAGACCGCCGTCGCTGCCAGATCTTCGGGAACCTGCACAAGCTGAGAGGCCATCGTCAGGTTTGATGGGACAAATGGAGAGAGGTGACATTGGAGAGACTAGTAGAAGAAGAGTTGATTCCTGACACTACTGGTGTAGAACAAGGTGAAGATATGGCGATCGTCAAGCGCGCGTTGAAGGAGCTTTTGGTGCATACAAAGGAGCTGGGAAGCAGGTTGCATAAAGTGGAGGAGGGGAGTTATACCTCTGCTGCACCTGGGTCAGCGTCCCATGCACGAAGCACCGGTGTCGTAGACGCAAACGCTGTATATCCACCAGGTGTCAGCCCAGAGAAGCAGTTTCCGCCTGGACAGGTTTTTTACACTGATGGGTTGGGTAGCTTTTGGACTGTGTCACGAGATGGGACGTGGCTGCCTATTGAGGGTTATGATCTCTCAAGAGGTTGCAACCTTCAACCAATGCCGGAGGATGTCAAGATGGAGGTGGAAAAAGAAGCGCCAATGTTGCACTTCCCTGAAGGGAAGAAATTTGCAAGGCTACCACCGCTGAACCATCCCCCAGCGAGCTCTACAGGGAGATATAGGAGGTGCGCCAGGTCTGACATAGGTTCCAGTTGTTCCCCTACCGGCAGGAAGTGATGGTGCTGCAGTTCCTATGACGAATCCACCCGGCTTTGTATCCGCTCGGGAGGCGTCGTCACATGCTGCGGGGTCAGGTGGATACACAATGGTGGAGGGTGTTCCGTCTCGAATATGGAAAACATCTTGTCGCAATATTCA